TCGACTTCATATATCCAATAAGTAAAGTTGGAAATCAAATACAGACATTACGGAATACATACTCCTGTTGATCTGATTGCGTCTGATCTGAATCTAAGTTTTCATTATAGAATAGTAGAACTTTACCAAACATCGTTATTACCTCGCTTTGTTACTTATTTGAGTCATAATATATAGGAATAGATCTCAAATTACACTGATAGGTATAACGCACCCGAGTTTACCTGCGTTTCACCTTATAACCTTGCATCGAAGTCTATGCAATGACCGCCTACATAAATCTAGTTGGTGCAGTAGTTGGGCAACTGGCTCCTACGCAATACGTGTTGATTTCTTTGATCCACAAATTGTTTTTCTAGTATTGGTGTCAGTGTATGTTCGTAATCGCTCATAACCACTCTAACGTCCGGCCCGTGCGACCGTTTGTCTCTTTAACATCCAGCTACCACTGACAAACGGTGAAGGAAAACATCGTGAGGAAACCTGGGCTTATAATTTCTAATTATAAGTCTGTAATCGCCAACCCGCATTGAGTAAGCGTGGTGATTAATGCTCAAACCTTCTCCGTGTGATAAGAGGCTTTGCTCAGCAGTGGGTATTTATAGGCTGTTGATGAGTGAGTATATGTTTGGCAGAGTGAGTGAGTAGGTGGGTGAAAGAGTGGATGCAAATGTGAATGTAAGCCTGTCAGGTACTGTGTGAGTTGAAATTAGTGTAAGTAGTAGATAATATTAGTTTGATTTTGTATTTTTTTTTTATTACAAGCTTGACGTACATAGGTATTGGGGGGCAACGATTTGTTAAACAACAAAATTCTGTTTATTATATTTATAACTTTCGTAAGGCATACTAAATAAATTATTATGTTTTCGGCTTACTCACGTAATTATTTGTTGAGGAACTCGACTAGTTTCAAGCCATGCTAGAGGCTCATATTCATGAGCAGCATTCCGCGACCCGCGACGCTGCGACTGTCGCGCTGCTTCTGTAATATTATAATAAAATTATGAATTACCAATTTTAACTCATTGTTATATATTTTTAATCTATAATGCAATAGTTATTTATCGTGAAATTAAAAAAGCTAGTCAGAAACACACTCATATATTTTTCCAAAACAAAAGACGAACATAAATAGGTTTCCCTATTGAAAGTCTTGCCACAGATATCATAAACATATATAACACTCATAAGTTTCTTACTTATTCTTTTCCATACAAATCTACTTTTTGGAAAAAATACCTAGTTTTACTTAAGAACAATTCTATTTTGACGTATCAAAAAATTATATTTATAACCTAGATGTGGTTTAATTGAAATATAATGACTGAGACTCTAAGACGTTCCAAAACCATAAAGAAAACTCGACCAGATATCTAATGAACAAACTGTTTGATAACTAAAGATACTTTTAACCTTGTCTATGGCTGTATACTATGTACTCAGATGTTGGACGATGGAAATAGGCCACAAGGCTACGGCGACCAACCAGCGTGTTTAGATGATATTACCACCAGAGTGCCTAATACAAGCCTGTTTTACGTCAACGCGATCGAGACGTTAGCCCTCTGATTGGTTGGTGAATTGAATCTGGCCAATCAGACCGCCGAACACCATAGACGTGTCTATCATGTTAACGTAAAACAAATTCGCACTAGGCCTTCTGGTGTTTAGACGATGTTACGATCAGTTCAATCGAAAACATGCGTATTTTAGAATGATAGAATGCGGATTTGGAAAGTTGGTAAATAAAATACGTAAGAAATGCACCATTAACTCGTCGAGTACCGGTTTTGTAGACACAATTATAGAACAATAGGTTGCGGTCACCGGTGACCGCTTGGTGTTTGACAGTTTGTACCTAATGCTAAAAGATTTACTTTGATTTTTGGATCGGATCAAAATTCTACACATATAACATAACATAACATCACGCCTTTTACCCCCGAAGGGGTAGTCAGCGGTGCACATTTCGGTACTGTACAATGTAATACCCACTTTTCACTATTTATGTTATGAGTCCCATGTAATATACCGGGCACAATTCCAGACTCCGTGGCGTGGCGTAATATTATGTTTATGATGATAGTTTATTTTTTTATCTTACCTTTATCTTACACTTGTTATTACTTTTATTTTTTTGTTATATAAAATGTTGAAAATTTGTTCGACCGCTGAAATCTCCGGAATTACTGGACCAAATTCAATAATTCTTTTTACGTCGTATAGTTCATGTACTGAGGAAGACAATGGGCCATAAAACATTACGATTCGGACAATAGTGCACAAGTGTTTTGACTGCACGCTTGATGCAGTGGCTGAGCAACTGGCTGCCGCGCAACGTGTCGCGGGTTCGATTCCCTTACGGATCCACTCTTTGTGTGATCCAGAAATTGTTGTTGTACATTTGTAAATGCACCCACGACACAGGAGAAAATAATAGTCTTTTTTTAAGGGGGAAAAAAATCATCGAATGACTTCTCCCGCCTGGGTGAGGTGGGAGGGAGTGCCAGACTCTTACTGACTAAAAACCACCCCGTTCCTTCTCCTGCACGTCGAGCCGGAGCCCCGGTAACCCGTTAGGTTCTCCGCGACAAAATCATAGTCTAGGGCAACGTTTTCGTGGAGCCGAGCAGAGCGGTGGAATTATTTATTACTCAGAAACGAAAGTTATCTTTTGTCCCTGCCCTACAAGCTACTTGGAATGGACAAAATACAATGACTACCTTCTATATTGTCCCTAATCACTATTACAATATGAACCTCTACGTCTAATACAGAAAAAACATAGCGTAAAGTGACTTACCTAATAATCGCTGACCTACACCGAAGTCAATCATTAAAACTGGAACGAGGCGACAGTAAAAATATGGTATTAGCAAGATTGAACAGCACTTAAACACTTTATAGCTTCAATTGGACCAATCTTCGGTCATAAATATTTAAACCGTAAGAATAAAACGCGATTCTAGAAAGTGATTGGTTGTTTAATTTTTAAATGTTTATCTGGATTAAGTAGATATAAAAAATTTTCTTGTCCTATTATAATACTAGCTTTTACCCGCGGCTTCGCTCGCGTCACAAATGGATAAAAGTAACCTATGTGACATATATCAATACACACAGCGCACTCTATAACAATACTTTTGTTTTCCCTCAGGAATATCAAATTTTTCCGGGATAAAAAGTACCCTATTTAATCCTTACTTCTAACTTTACGTCGGCAAAAATTCAAAACAATCGGTTTAGTAGTTACGACGTGAAAGCGGAACAAACAAACAAACTCACTACCTGATTTATAATATTAGTAAGGACTTCTGATTCATATCGTTGCGGGAACCAAGACAGTTATTCATGTCCCTGGGACGGACTTCAGTGTTCCGATGTATTCATGCTTGTATCTATGGTAGATCGTAGCGTACAGGAGTTTCAGCAGTTTTGGGAGGTTGTGGAGGGTTCAAAAAAAAAGATATAAAGAAAGAAAAATCATTTATTCGACAGTAGGTACGCACACAGATACAAAAAAGAAAATACAAAATTAAAAAAGAAAATAACAAATAAATACACTTATCTATACAGATATAGAAAAAAAAACACAAAGAAACGACAGCGTATAACATAACAGTGACAATAGAATATTAACAAAATAATTAAAAATTAATAAAAATAAGATATAAATAAATAAATAACATTTAATGGTGCGTGCCATTGCCAAAAGGGCCTCCATCTCAGCATTAAGTTGAGCGTACATGCCCAACGCTGATTTTCAGATGGCACCCTGCAGTGACTCACGGACGGCGGTAAGCCGCTCAAGAAAAAAGAAATGAAATATAAAGCATACTAATACAATAATTATTCTGCAGGATACGTGTTTTTGTGTAATAGTGAAAAAATAGTGTGGCTATATGTGAATAATAATAATATAATAAATTTAATTATAAAAGTGTAATATAAATTTCAATAAAAAAGTGTAATTTCTTCATCTTTTATTTTTTTCATCTGAACTGAGGGTTATTGAATATTTTTGGCTGTCAACCAGGTAGTTACTAATTTAGTGACAGGTGTGCCGTAAAGAAAGATATATTGTGATAGTTACTATTATTGAAGTCCAACTTCAGAGTCTAACAAGTGTAAAATTCAGAAAGGTCGGGCAAAGTATTATTGGTCTATAAGATTTCGAAGATTTCGGTGTTCGGCAAAAGGCTTCTTTAATAAGTTGAACTGAAATACAAACGCAGAAATACCATGTCTCTTATTCTCCTGATAAGTAGACGGGCGTGCATAAATGCACCTCTCCAAAAAGGTACAACCGCATATCGAAGTACCATAAAGTATTATGTACTTTAGTAACGATTGAGGACAGAACTGACGCAATGGATACCTACTCTTAGTCAATTTTCCTTGACGTCTATATATACTCTGATATGCTACCGACTTTACAAATCTTTTTTACGGGATCAACCGGTAAACGCGCAGACGGATCACCTGATAGTAAGCAATCGACGTCACTCATGGCCACCCGGAACACTAGAGGGGTAACAAGTGCGTTACCGGCCTTTTAGGGATTAGGAATTTGAGGATTGTTGGGGACTCAAGGATTAGGTTCTCCGGTTACTTCACTCACACGACGAAACACAACGCAAGCGTTGCTTCACGTCGGGTTTCTAGTAAGGCTCAGGTATCACTCCGGTCGAGCTGGCCCATTCGTGCCGAAGCATGACTCTCCCACACTTCCACAAAAACCAATCCATAATGTCGAAACAAAGCCAAAAGTTTCAATATCCTTCTAATCCCTCCCATTTTGAATCCCCTTATCCGCAATACACAAATAGCTAACCTCCAAAACATTAGCCTTTATGTATACGGTTATCCATTCGCCTGCTCCAGGTGATCCATCTGCACGTTTACTGACTCATCCCAAAGGAAAAATCTAATGTATTCTTTGTAGAGACATCTTAAAAAGTCCAACAACAACATATTAACAAACACTTTCTTTACAGTAAACCTACCATTCTTCACACATGGGATAGAAACCACAAGATTGACGTCATCAATCCATTCCGGCCATTTTGTTAATAGTAATGGGACTACATGGACAACTACCTCAGTCATAGCCGGGGCTGGTATAGCTGCTCCTATATTCTGCTACATAGCTGACACTTATGGCAGAATGAGTGGGGTGTTTTTAGTCAGTATGATACAAGGGGTAAGTAGTATTTAAGTTGAGTGAGTGATAGTGTTTATGTTTGCCTGTTTTGCTCACTCTTACTTCTTCTTTATAAGTCATTATCGCATAAAAAACTCTCTTTTCTTTCGTATCTTTCCTGTCATGCTTCACACTGTCTATCCATCTTTCATTGGCTTAATTAAAGAGTTTCCTACAATTTTGGTTAGTGATACCACACAGATATACATAGGCTCCAATGATCACTTCAATCCGTGCCATCACCACAAAAAATTAACGTTGCATGATGGACTAAATGGCCTAAGGCATTCGTATAAAAAGTCTGACTCAGTAATTCAATAATGACACAATTGTAAAATTCGTGGTCATGATTGATGTTTGATTATAAATAGATAGACATGAACCATTACATATTTGACCTTGAGAATTCATAAATAAACGTCTTCCTTGGTATTGCAAACAGGTCTCTTTACTCGGTACATTAACATGCTTAAAGTAATCCAGTATACTATTGCAGTATTATCAGAACAGCATCTCATAAACTGCTTATAGGTGTGTTTCTACCTATTGCCAAAACTGTAACTACCTATCATCAGCCGAAAAATGTCAATTAAACTGTCAAACACCAAGCGGTCACCGGTGACCGCAACCTATTGTTCTATAATTGTGTCTATAATGACGGTACTCGACGAGTTAATTATCATCTTATGAGACAGTTTGCTATCATCTCCTCGCCTTGCCATTTTCTACCCCTCGCTTAGAACATACCTGAGTCCAAAAATATATTATACTATATTCAAATTTGTCCCAAGTTCTCCATGACCCTATTTGCCATCGTTGACTAAAAATATACGTACTTCACTCTTATCCATCACCAACTGGTACTTCAAAGTCTTGAGGGAGTAAGATGCATGATAATAATAGCACTGTCAATATTAAACCTCCATTCTGCTATAAAATAAATCTACTTCAGATCACAAGGGAGCAATAAAGTAAGAGATTGGCAGACAAAAGCCTCGTCAATGACTGACATTCATTTAATGAATTCAATTAGCATTTAATAGCTACAGAGTTTTATAGGCTATCAACAACAGTTTTATAGCGCGATTTCATTAAAGACGTGGTTTGTCCTCTTTTAACAAAGTAGCACAATATTGCAGTTTTGTAATTTATTGTTTTTATTGTTTCAATGGAATGTAATTTAGATTACATAATACATTTATAACTTTTGAACATGATAGGTCCCTTTTTCTTAATGACAGAAGAAATGTGGTTCACGCTAGGATTTTCTATTAGTGCCATGGATGCAATTTCCTATACACACAACTCCCAAATCCGAAACAAATTAATGCCCATCAATTACTAGTCACCTTGGAATCTCTGATCTTTGTTTACGGCAACAAATTCAAATCAGACAACAATGTTTACACGTTCTTTTTTTTCCAGATATCACTAATCCCACATTTTCTACTAAATAAAAGAAACATATTCTATGTAGAAATAATCCTGCATATCCTAGCAGGAATATCATCAGGCGGGCTATTCACCGTCCTACCAATTTATTTAAGAGAAGTGACCACCATCCGTGGGTTTGCAGTCCCACTACTGGTGGTAATGACCACCGGTGGCTATCTAATGAAGATGGTGGCGGTAGAAGTGAGGTTATATGTGATGCTGGCTATGGTGATGGTGCAGTTCCTGTCAATTCTGATGATGGTAGAGAGCCCTGGTTATTTGGTGATGATGAAGAAATATGAGGTGAGTGATTTATTCAAATGGAATTAGTGTCTATAAGTAGCTTTTTCATACGACATCCACACATAAGGGTGGCCTAAAGGTCGCCGCTGGTTACAGATTGCTTCTAACCGGTCTGGAAGTCATTGAAGGAGGCCTATAGACTGGCCGTCTTATGGCTAGTATGATCACGATAATTAAATACTTATAAAGGTGACAAGGAAGCAACGGTGGAGGAAAACGTTGTGAAGAAACCTGGGCTTATAATTTCTAATTAGAAGTTTGAAATCGCCAACCTGCATTGAGCAAGCGTGGTGATGAATGCTTAATGAAAATGAAAGACTGTCCATGTCAAAAGAGGCCTTTGGTCAGCAGTGGCTACTTATAAGCTGTTATTGTATTTATGGAAGAAAATGGAAAAATAAGAATAATAGTGTTGATTTGAGAAAAAAGACATAAATTAAACATTTGTTAGGAATGTCAAATAATAATTATGGTATGAATGCAATTTGTGACAAATAAAACATTATTTATTAAGTCTTTTGACCTTGGAATTCTTAGTCATAAATTGTTTTTGTTTGTTCGTCCATTGTAAGGTGATTGGACTTTTCCTTTGAGGAAAATGTTTAAATAAATATTCTTATTCAATGAAATATACGTACCTAAATGTAGCGACACATTGAGTTATATATAACCATTCTATCATGATCCCACTTTGTACGATCTTTCCACACATTCGAGGGTTAGTTTATACTGGTTTAATATGGAATTAATGTGAATGCTGATGGAACTACCATAAATCAGGAGTTCCCAAGCTTATCCTGGTCAAAGACCACTTTTGTCATTCTTGTTAGTTTAGGGGTTTTTTTATGGCATAAGCCGGTAAACGAGCAGACGTATCACCTGATGGTAAGCAATCGGCGTCGCCCATGGACACCTGGAACACCAGAGGCGTTACAAGTGCGTTACCAGCCTTTTGGGGATTAGGAGTTTGAGGATCGTTGGGGATTCAGGAATTAAGGAGATTGGGGAAGGGGAGGGTAATTGGGCCTCGATAAATTCAAATAGCTCCAATTGGCTAATCCAATTGGCTTGCGTTGCTTCACGTCGGTTTTCTGTGAGGCCGTGGTATCACTCCGGTCGAGCCGGCCCATTCGTGCCGAAGCATGGCTCTCCCACACTTAATGTGCACCGCTAGCTATGTTAGTTTAGGGGCCACTATAAATTACTATTCCTTTTTTCATATGGTATTATACTAAAATTACATTCACTCATAAAAATACTGACATTTGAATTACTGAAATGAGTTGCTCCTCTCAGTTTAATCTGAGGTTCAACCGTGTCATATCGGCGCCGCGGAGGACTTTAAGTTTTACCGGGGTAGGAAAGGGATAGTTTTTAGTGAATACAAGTTTGACACTCACGCCTTACCCAGGCGGGGCAAGGCATTCGTTGATTTTCCCCTTAAAAAAAAACACATATACATATATTTTTGACTATGTGTTTGTAGCCAACAATATCAAAAACTATTCAAATGATTTTTAGAGGAACGAAATCGATATCAAGCGTACAAACTCACGTGCAAATCGATAGTGACTAAAATAAAAGTCGTGAAAACTCACTTAGCGTTAAATAAATATACAAATAGAGTAGCATATATATAGAATCATACAATTCATTATATATTAAGGTAAACTCGAAAATAGCAACAAGTTTGGCCCTAAGTGAACTACTAAGGCCTAGTACGAGTTGTTTTACGTTGAAAATAATCGTAACGAGCACGCGTTCAGCGCTCTGATTGGTTGGTTCATTGGCGCCGGCCAATCAGATTGCCGAACGCGTACTCGTTTCGAATACTTTAATTTTATATCAAACTCGTACTAAGTCTTCTGTTTATATTAATTTAACGTAATAGGTAAAAGTCGTTCCCATTTACAAAGTCATTTGATAAACACTGCAAACAAACTTATATATAACACTAGCTGACCCGGCGAACTTCGTGCCGCCAAAAGTCTTTTCTCACCATTTAAACCTTCTCTGGACTTCCACGAAAATTTCAAAACTAAAATTAGCCAAATCGGTTCAGCCGTTCTCCAGTTTTAGCGAGACTAACGAACGGAAATTCATTTTTATTTATATAGATAGATAGATAACATAACATTACGGCTTTTATCCCTGAAGGGGTAGGCAGAGGTGGCACGGACACGCGGCGCATTTTAGCTGCGTTTAATAATTTGTTTGACAACGTGGGTCTACATTTCCACTGGAATACACGAATATGACCCTCGACTATGTACAGTTTTCAGTCAGTATAAGTGTGGGAGAGCCATGCTTCGCCACGAATGGGCCGGCTCGACCGGAGTGATACCGCGGCCGAGCAGGCCCATGTGCACCGTGTCACGCTATACGTAGTCGTGGTACATATTCGTCTACTCCAGTGGAAACGTAGACGCACGTTGTCAAACAAATTATTAAACGCAGCTAAAATGCGCCGCGTGTCCGTGCACAGCATGCGCCGCAGTGGGCCCGCGCCTTTAATGCCACAGTACAATGTAACACCCACTTTTCACTATTTATGTTATGATTCCAATGTAAAAATGTATGCCTATTGTCATATACCGGGCACATTTCCAAACTTATATTATATAGTATAATCATACAGGCATATTTTTCTCCACTATATTCTTATCTTCCGTTCCCGTAGGATTTCAGCATGTTTTCTGTCTTAAGAACCTTCTCCTAATAATAACAAATACTACAAAAAAGAATTATTGAAATCGGTCCATCCATTCGCGTGTGATACCGTGACCACGGGAAAAGGGTATTCATTTTTACATATTTATATAGATAATACTACAGTATTATAGTATTATAAAAGTTACTCTTCCTAGGGCTTTTTTTGTAGATGGGTGGTTTTTATTTTCAGTTTAGCATAAACAATTTTAATTGTGCTTTAATTTACTTTCAATAACAGCCTATAAGTGACCACTTTTCACCAAAGGCCTTTTCTCGCACGGAGAAGGTTTGATCATTAAACTGTCAAACACCAAGCGGTCACCGGTGACCGCAACCTATAGTTCTATAATTGTGTCTATAATGACGGTACTTGACCAGTTAATCACTATGCTTGCTCAATGCGGGTTGGCGATTTCAAACTTATAATTAGAAATTATAAACCCTGGCTTTCTCATTATGTTTTCCTTCACCGTTTGTCAGTCGTGTCTAGATAATCTAAGACAGTAGGAAAGAAAGAAAGAAAAAAAAATTTAGCAAATAGCACACAAATCAAAGATTATAAAAAAATAAAAATACAGATACTTACTTACATAAACAAAAATTATTAATAATAAACTTAAAAGAACAAAAAAACATCAACAAGTACATAGAACTCGGAAAAAGTCACATTGGTATTTACTGTTGGTGAGTTTCGAACACGCACTCTCATTATGAAAAGCGCCCGTCTTAAACCTCCAAGCCACCACGACTCAATTTAATTTACTTCAGTACATTCATATTGAATAGGAGTATTTGCTCTTAAACACTGAAAAATAAAAACGATTTAGGTATTTGTAATGCGTTAACAGAATCAAACAGTTCTAAATAAAAACGTTCGAAATACAAAAAAAAAACGCATTAAAAAACACAATCCCAGCTGACAATCCGCCTTCACACAAATTCGCTCATTCCTGCCCAGTTTTGAAATTTTAGACTGTTCTATTTTTAAATGTGTTTCTCCGCACATTTTTTTTTTAGCTTTTTATAAGCAGCTTTGTCTAAATTATTTTGTGCAGTGGCCATATATCTTTTTGTCATACAAATGAGTGTGGCTTGTTCCTGGTTGTAATACTCGGGCGTGACATACAGCCTTTAGCTTTCCTTTGGGAAATTTCATTCTGTTGTTATGTTCTGCGAAAATAACTTCATACTGGTAGCATTATAGGCACTTTTTTACGCAACAGTTTGAGCTAAAAAAGCTTGAATTAGGATGTACAAAGAACGAATGAGATGGGTCATTAATAATTTAATTTGTACCTTAATTAAACTGTCAAACACCAAGCGGTCACCGGTGACCGCAACCTATTGTTCTATAATTGTGTCTATAATGACGGTACTCGACGAGTTATTACGTTTTTTAGTCCAGTTATTGCTAATTTCCTATTGTATAATGATTATTATTATTAATAGTAGTCCTATTACATGGGACTCATAACATAAATAGTAAAAAATGGGTTTAATATTGTACAGTGGCATTAAGTGCCGTACTGTGTTCCTTTGCCCACCCCTTCGGGGATAAAAGATATGATCATGTCATATTTAATTGCTAGTTTGACAATCGACAATGGAGTCTTCGTCAGGAGTTCGAATCCTAGATCAGAAAAAGTTACAAATTATGAATTTATCGATGTTCATGTGGTCCCTAGTAGCTCAACGTTTAAAACTACAGGTTGTGTTCCACTTTTCGCTGGGACTAATAACGAAAATTATACTGTACTTACATTTTAACACTTATAATAAAATAGATTATCTATGTGGAGATGATACTAAGAAAAATAAGGCTTTTAATTTATACTCCACCTCAAATCTAACTCTATTAACCTTGTACACCAACAAATCCAATAACACAGAGCTATTTATAACCAAAAACGAACCTAAAAATTACCTAATCTTAGAGTTTATTTTAGAAAATACCTATAGTTTTGGTATATTTGTTTTTATTTCCAGAATGCGCGAAAGAATTTATCAAAGCTTGTGTGTGTGGGCGAAGATGATCCGTATGTGTCAAAGGAAATATCTCAGCTTAAAGATGAAAGCGATAAGGCAAAGGCTAAGGGAAGGCTTACTGTTTGTACTGTGTGTGAGTATGTTTTACTATTTTGTATTAATATTAAGAAACATTTTGGTTAAAAAACATGTTGAGGTATATACAGTGAAATCTGATTAAGTGCGACATCAAGGGACCTGTAATGCCGTTTCACTTATAGAGGTATTCCAAGTGGAATATCTGAGACACTGGGTAAGTACCCAGTGTCTCAGATATACAGGTATAAATAAATATCTGTCTCATTTACAGAGGGTTCCATTAATAGAGGTGGACTTGGAATTATGTGTGAAATTTGTGGGTAGAATAAGAATGAGTATACAAACAATGTTATCTCAGTTACAGAGGTTTATATATTACTCGCTGTCTCAGTTATAGAGGTAACTATGATGATAAATCGAAAGAACAAATCCCAGATATAGAGTTTATCTCGTCCCACTAACAGAGGTAATTCAGTGCCAAAGTGTTGGGACCTTAGCATGAGTTCCAGTCATGGAGGTTTCTCACTTATCCAGGTCCCACTTAACCAAGTTTCACTGTATATAAGGCCTATAGGACATGGAGTATTTTTATACGCGTAGACCTTCGCTGTCTACTGAGCGTATACGCGCTTTATAAGAGATTCGAACGTAACTCTGCAATCTCAGCACACGAAGCGATCCTTTACAGAAATGCGCGTATGAATAAGCGCATTTCTGTTGCACTGCACTATTATAAACCTAAACGACTGCCTTCTAGGCTGAGTGATCGTAAGTGCACTACCTTTCATGGTTGGGCAAAATATTACTGGGATTCTTGAAAAAAATCCGAGTAGTAGCTCGGATCTGGTATTGTGCCCGGTATATGGCAACAGACTCACCCCCTATTACATGGGACTCGTAAAATAAATAGTGAAAAGTGGGTGTTACATTGTACAGTGGATTTAAGTATCGTAATGTGTACACATTACTCTGCCTACCCCTTTAAAGATAAAGGGCGTGATGATGTTATTTTTATAAAACATTTTCTTCATTTCCAGGGCGAAACAAAATTTGGCTAGATGGCACAAAAGTAGGAATCGTTCTTTACACAATAACGGCTATAGGAGGAAGCATTCTCTTCTTGGATCAGCAGAAAACGTTGATGCAGTTAAGGGTGTCCTCTGATCCTGAGAATATGCTGGTACTCAGCACCTTGTTCCTTGGAAGCGTGTTCTGTTTAATCTGCACTACTTTTGTGGATAGAAAGGTGAGTTTGTGATTTTTTCTTGTGTAATAACCTAATAATTCTTGGTGATCGAAAGGAAGAAAGAAAAACAAGTGCGGGAGAGCCATGCTTCGGCACGAATGGGCCGGCTCGACCGGAGTGATACCACGGCCTCACAGAAAACCGACGTGAAGCAACGCTTGCGTCGTGTTCCGTCGTGTGAGTGAGGTTGCAGGAGGCCCAGGTCCCCCTTTCCCAATCTCCCCAATCCCCGAATTCTTACCAATCCTCAAACTCCTAATGCCCAGAAGGCCGATGACACACTTGTATTGTAACGCCTCTGGAGTTCCAGGTGTACATGGGCGACGCCGATTGCTTCACAATCAGGTGATCCGTCTGATCGTTTACCGGCTTATGCCATAAAAAATCCATTAGGGGCATGATGCACCAAATACGCAATCATAATAAAAATACAACAATACAAAATAATAATAATAATACAAAAAAATAATACAAAAAAATAATAATAAGAAGAACAAGGTCGCAACATGTCAAAATAATTTATTTTAATTAGACCAAGAAGTCACTTTTGAAGGTCAAAACACAGCTAGACCGATTTGGCTGACCTTTTTTTTATTGTCAGGAGAAGGTTCTTACGACCGAAAAAATCCTGGAAATCCTACGGGAACGGCAGAAAACGGGACTGCGCGTACGAAGTCACGGGCAGAAGCTAGTACTTATTTAAATATTTAAACAAAAAATGTCAGTCTATCGGTCAGTCGTCTAGCTAATTTTATATTAAAATATCGTTTCTCATATTTCCAGTACCTCCTCACAGCAGCCTACGTCACGATGACGATGTCGACAGGAGTACTGGCAGTGTACACACAAGCTGATCTGACTGTGACGTCACTAAGATGGGTGCCTGTCTCTGCACTCGGCGTCCTGGTCTTTGCATACGGAGTGGCCTGGGGTCTACCTATCGTCATCATGGTCGAAATATTCAATTTGGAAGTAAGTTTTTCACCAATCACCTAAACTGTCATTTAGCATGACGTAGCACCTAAACTTACCCCTTACTTGTCATGTTAGGTGTTACTTGTAGGTTAGTGTAAACAAACATGATGTTAGATGTCTCCTATATTCTTATTTTTAGAAACAAAACATTGCCCCAACCTAGAATTTTCTCCTGTGTCGTAGGTGCGTTTGCATACAAATTCACATACACATGACACCCAGACCCGGAACAACAATCTGTGGATCACACAAAGAGTTGTTCCGTGCAGGAATCAAACCCGCGTCACGTTGGGCGGCAGACAGTTGTCCAGCCATTTGCCGTCTTATTATATATAACCTTTTTGGTTTTAAAAATTTAAAGGAAGTTCTTGAAAAGGCATTAGTCAATCAATTAGTTATTTAGTCTCTAATTCGAGGGTAGATCTATATTCAGAGCTTCCCGATTTTATATCCCCGATCCCGATTTTATATAAAATGATGAAACTGCAACAAACTGTACATAGACGTGTTTTTTTAAAACAATTCTGTATATTTGCCAAACAATAAAATAATATAAGCACCAATGAATAAAGAATAATTTTATACATTTGAAATTCAATTTGCAGTTATTAAAATGCAGAAAGCAATAATAGTACGAAAGTATTGTGTAAGAATTGTAAAGAAACGGAGATCTAAGCAATGAATTCAAATTAGAGATGGGATTCTAAAGTTCGGATTCAGATACGGTAGAGAATAAAGCGAATTTGCAAATTTAAAAAAGATTGCTTGTGGGCTAGCAAAAGATAACAGCCACTTATTTTTTGTTCAAATCCTTTGGGGGATTCAAAAGATCACATTTTTTTTTAAACTGTTACAGTAATGAGTTTTGAAATAAATTGTCTCATTTGGTGCTATTGATTACATCAACAATAAAACATAATCATTGAATAAAAGTACTTTTTCCCTTTATGGCAACCATGTTTCCACTACAATGTGGTCGACTATACTGAAGTGAAAAAAAAGTTAAGAAAACAATACCATAAATTGTTTTTGATTTCCTCATAAATACCACACAAATTAAAAAAGCAAATCGAGGATATAGAGTTCACTGAACTCTTCATTTCTTTTTTCAAATGTTGTTATCGAATCCAGTTACGGATTCTAACATTCAATTGCTTTAGATAACTGAGACCTTATGACATCCCTGATTCAAAACGTTCAGAGTATATTAAAATATGCTCTTGATCCGAGCTCGACTGAAACTCTTGCAATGCACGATACATTGCTTTGTGCCTATTGTGTTATTTGAAGTTACAAATTAATATGTATATTTCTGACTCGTTAGTCATGGAAGATTGTATATATAATTCCTGATTCTGTCCAAGGAATCTAGCAAAACCAATTAATTAGAATTGCTATAACATCACGCCTTGTATCCCCATAGGGGTAGGCAGAGGTGCACATTATGCCACTGTACAATGTTACACCCACTTTTCACTATTTATGTTATGATGTGATAGGGGGTGCGCCTATTGCCATATACCGGGCACAATTCCAGACTCCTTGCTACTACTGAGAATTTTTTTAAAACCCAGTAATTCTTTGCCCGACCCGGGAATCGAACCCGACACCCCTTTCCCGGCAGTCGCACTTACGACCACTCGGCCAGCGAGGCAGTTAGAATTGCCTTCGGTAAATAACCTAAAATAATCTTATTAGTTAAAAGGCTGGCAATGCACTTCTAACGCCTATTGTATTGCGGGAGTAAAATACATTAAACTGTCAAACACCGTGAGGACACCGGTGACCGCAACCTATTGTTCTTTAATTGTGTCTATAATGACGGTACTCAAAGGGCTAATCAAGGTCATTGTGATAATAACGTAGTGTCACAATTTGACTGCATGGTCGACGCGATGGCTGGACAACTGACTGCCGCGCAACGTGTCGCAGATTCGAATCCCACACGTAACAACTCTTTGTGTGAACCACAGATTGTTGTTCCGAGTCGGGGTGTCATGTGTATGTGAACTTGTATGTATGTAAACGCACACACGATAAAACAGGACATCCCAGTGTTGGGCAACGTTTAAAAAATCGATGTAAACGGATCGTCTATTGAAGATCAGGTTAAATTCAACCACAAGAGCTTTAACTGCATTTTTATCCCTTGAAGAATATGCATTAAGTTATTTACTTATTTTTATAGTGTATTTTTTTTCTTTTCAGATCCGAGCAACGCTAATAGGAGCAATTTACTTGTACTCCCAAGTGGTCAAACTCATTCACGTACACACCTTCCAATACGTAGAAGATTATGTAGGAGTTTATACCACATTCTATATATTTGCCTGTATAAACTTATTTGGAGTGGTGTACACTTTGTTTGCTGTACCTAAGATTAAGAACAAGAGTGTGAGACAGATCGAAAAGCAATTGAAAAGACAACCTTTACCCGCGTGAATAAAGTTTAAATTAAGTTTTGTTGTGGTTGTTTCATTTATCTAGTAAGTACTTATTGACTGCGTGGTTCTTTTATGGGATTAGTCGGTAAACGAGCAGACGGATCACCTGATTGTCTTCTTCTTTCTTTCTTTCTTTCTCAATCGGCGTCGCCCAGGACTCCCGGAACACCAAAGGAACTTGTAAGAGAAGTGCGTTTTTTTTTTATCGGGGGAAAATCATCGAATGACTGCTCCCGCCTGGGTGAGGTGGAAGGGAGTGTCAGACTCTTACTGACTAAAAACCACCCCGTTCCTTCTCCTGCACGTCGAGCCGGAGCCCCGGTTACCCGTTAGGTTCTCCGCGACACTTCCTTGTTATCTACCCAAAAATATTAAATTATTTATAAAATTCGGTAAAAGTAAATGATGTAGTGTTACGGTGCCTAACACCTTTACAATAGCAAACCGCAGTTATATCTTAAACATCATCATCATTCCATTCCCCTTAAAAAGAAATACCACGGAAGTTTTTCTAATAGGTTGTACGCCTAATATGATATCATTTTTTTAAGCTAAATGCAGTTTTCTATTGGCCAAATTAGTGACTCAGAACAAAACTTGATACTAATTTACTTGCTTTTTTAAAATGAATGATATTTCTGCCAGTATTATTATTAATAAATGTTTATTGGTGTAGTAGTTTTTTGTTTATTGATGGTTTTGCAGTTCAATCGGGACTTTTTTCACCAAAACCGAAAATGTTGAATATTTCAGAAACTAGCCACTTTCGGACCAGAGACCTCAGGACTAATTTTATAGGGAACTAAGCCCACGATTCGTACGCGTAATTTCGAAAAGAATTAGGGGTGGACTACCCCTAACATTTAGGGGGATGAAAAATAGATGTTGGCCGATTCTCATAGATACCGGATGAGCACAGAAAATTTCTTCAAAATCGCTCAAGCCGTTTCGGCGTAGTATGGCAACGGAAACTGTGTCACGAGAATTTTTTTATAGGCAATTAGGTAGTTGTATTATCTCCTCCAGAAAGGAATAGGTACGTCGAGTTACAAGTCACCCTGTATAAATACAAATACAACAGAGGCCTTAGTACGAGTTTGTTTTACGTTAAAAATAATCGAAACGAGACTGCCTTCGGAGCTCCGATTGGTTAGTTCATTGGCGACGGCCAATCACAGCGCCGAACGCGTACTCGTTTCGATTTCTTTAAACGTAAAATAAACTTGTAATAAGGCTTCCGTACTTGTGATATGATATTTCTCGGAACGAACACAACTATTTTAGTTTAACTTCACAAGCAAGCGCCTTCAGGAAAATAGTGAGCAATCTCTCTTTAGCACGTTTGAGCTCTCGTAAAATGTCGTGTATCGCGGCTACAGGCGCCTACTTATAGAACACGGTATTACGTCACACACTCATAGAATAATTACAGGTCGTGAAGACCTTTTGTAGTCAGTCGGTTTGGTTCCGTAGTATCTTTTCTTATTGTTTACTTTACTAGTAATAATTGGGATGATGACAGGGTATGAAAATCTTGTATCTTATACTATTATATAAAGCGGAAGAGTTTGTTTTTTTTGTTATTTTGTTTGAACGCGATAATCTCCGTAACTACAAGTTTGATTTGAATAATTCTTTTTGTGTTGGATAGCGCATTTACCGAGGATGGCTATAGAGGCTGTAAAACATCACACACAACCAATAGGAGCTGAGTAGAGGGTGTGAAATCGCGCGAAAGTCTATAATTGGTCCGTAAGTTGGGTAATGAAAAAATATTAGACACTTATTTTATATTTTGTAGTATAATAAAACAATACTTAGATAAAACGAATCAAAGTGTCAGTGTGGGGTTAAAACGTCATTTCTAC